TCTTCAGTAATAAAAGAAACAGTGTGGATGTATGGCTCTAAGCAATTACTTTAGCAATTCTGATTCCCCATTACATTTTGAGAGAATGTGAATGTGAATGATTAAGGACACACTGAGAAGTAGCATAAAATTAATAAAAGTGTGCCAGATTTTTAAATAAACAGTACGAAATATTTATTTGCACTAAACATTCAAAACCATCATTTTATTTTTCTAGGTCAGATACCTGCCGTAAGCCACTGGTTATGCTTCCAAGCAACAAAAACCTCAGCATTTCCTTGGTTGAGTTTCATCCTAGACAGTGCCCTAAACATCTAATTTACTATCATTTTTGTTTTCAGTTACCTAAGAACCAAATTGTCATACTAAACTATTAAAGTGAGAGTTGCAAAAGTTCTCTAAAATAGATCATCCCATAAGGATCACAGTACCACCCTCAGTTTATGAGAGAGAAAAGGGGTGTGGGGCAGGGATTTTTCTTAACTGAAAAACCAATTCTTCTTGGCAATACAGTTCTAGGATACATAAGATACCTTAAAAAACCGAGTATGGCTCCTCACAATGCCATCTTTTGGTGGTTGATTTCAAATAGAGGTTCACTCAGAAAGAAAAAGGGGATTTTTATGAAAGATAGAATCTGGAAAGAGAGAAAGAGAGACCCTCTCCCGCAAAAAAAGGACTGAGAAGGGGGACAGGAACACTGGGGAAACAATAGCTGCCATTAATCAGACTTGCCCTGGTGTGATCTTTGAATCTCTTTGAATATCTTTCTCTTTCTTGGAAATCCAGCTTGATTTTATAGCTTATGACCTGAGCCAAATACTGCCATGACATTTCTGCTAAAAGCCCAAACCATTAAGACAAAAGCAGGCTTGACATGATAACCAAGACAGGTCTGTTTGTGCATTTCATTTTATTTTTAACTTTGACAGGTAAAATTGAGTTTATGATGGCAGGCAGTAGAACTTGAGAATCAAACAATTCAGAATACTTAGCTATAACTGGTTCTTGTAAACACATCTTAGCAGTCAGGACTGAACAAAAAATAAGCAGGTTGGACGAGATAATTTAAGCAGCAACTGAAAAAAAAATAAAAATGAATTTTCTTTTCTTGTGTACTTTTACAATTCCAGAAGGCTTTTCAATCATTGAAGTATTTACTGAAGGTATAAGACATATAAACGGAAATCATTACTGTCATCTATATTAATAACACCTTTATAATTGATAAGTGTGTCATATTTTTTTCTTGCAATTAAATTCTGCTGTCTGAGATTACAGCATAAAAAAGAGTCTCCGAAAAAAATTATAAAAACAATTTAGTCACATATTTCCTTTGTGAGCTTATTTAGTTACATCTGAAAATACTGAGAACTTCTATTCTATGAAAATGATTGTCCCCTCAATCAATAACTATTGAATGCATCAAATATGTCTAGCACTATTTCTGCTACACAGTAAATACTCAAATATATTTATTGGAATTAGCAACCATTCCCTTTTCTTTGTATCCTCTCCACCTGTTGTTGTTTTTTGATTTTTTAACAAAAGTCATTCTGACTGGTGTGAGATTATGGTTTTGATTTGCATTTCTCTAATGATTAGTGATGATGACCATTTATTCGTATGTTTGTTGTCTGCCTGTATGTCATCTTTTAAGAAGTGTCTGTTCATGTCTTTTGACTTCTTTTTAGTGGGGTTATTTGGTTTTTTTGCTTGATAATTTATTTCAGTTTCTTACAGATTCTGGATATTAGACCTCTATCAGATGCACAGTTTGTGAATATTTTCCCCCATGCTGCAGGCTGTCTGTTTACTTCTTTCATAGTTTTGCTGTGCAGAAGTTCTTGAGTTTAATTAGGTCCTACTTGTCAA